TAGTCATCGGAGTTCTCCGATGACTAGCGATGCTGCCTTTTTACAAATCCTACAGAAATTGCGCGTTGTGAGCTGACTTCATCAGAGTGGCAATCCTCCCATTCTAAAGTTTCAACCCCTTGGATTAGTCATACTGATTGTCCCCCACGCGACAATTTTTTCCCTTGCGTCTTCTCTCGTAATGGCCCACTTTCTTACAGCAGTTGCACGTAACGGATCTTGCTGGACTTCGTTGTCGGTGTTCCGGGGTCATATTCGTCTCATCGTAACTTTAGCATTTCCGAACCGATGTTCGGATTCCCCCTCGATTCTGATAGGTCCCAAGTCCCCTTTGAAATCCGCGGCCCCTTTGGCCGCGAATGTTGCTTACAGGTTCCTTAATTTGCGATTATTCCCTGATTTGCAACCTACACCCGGTAGCCGTAAATTCGCTTCCCGTGGTCATGGTACACTCCCTTAATACGTTTTAGCATTTTTATCACTGCGTTCATATGACGTCGTGATCTTAAGTGCTTCTTCCGGAATTTTCGTCTCCCTGCACAGCTCGTTCTGGGCGTCCCTGTTCCGCATGTTGAAGATAATTTTGTCTTCAACCATTTTCCTTTCCTGTGTTCCCAAGTTACACCTCGGTGACCTTCCACTTAGTTCTGCATAGAAGTACTCCAAGCTTTTGCCTTCCTTTTTCTTCCGAGACAACATTTGGTAGATCTCATATGTTTAGTGGCGCTCCTCAAAGAGTGTTTTGCCTCAAAGTTTCGACAATCTGCGGGTTGCTAGTTGAGCAGTGCGTGTTGTCCCTCCTGTCCTATACATAGCTACATATTGAAGATCAGATATCGAAGGCCAGAATGCAACTAACCCCAGAATGTAACTAACCCTAGGGATGTTTTCAAATAATCACTGGATTGAAAGTTTCATAGTGTTGCTGATAATGGTTTCAAATTTCATTTGTATTGAAGAAATAGTTGATTAGTTTTGCAGTTTTTGCAGTTTTTGAGCAGTTTTTGAGCGTTTTGCCTCGCAGTTTTTGAGCGTTTTGCCTAGAGGTAACGATCATACTTGGGACGACGAAGTTGCTGGGTTCATTTCCGGCTCGTTGCCGATTTTTTAAATTGAAAACTTGCCCGCTTGTCAAAGTTTGATTGCCGGTCTATCGTTTGTCTGCTCATTTACTGGCCTACTTTTTAAAGCATAAAGTCGTATATTCATTTAGGCAGTTTTCACACTTGCGAAGCGAGTGTATTAGTACGAACCTTCTTTTTTTCGAACATAAGTTCTAAACTCTCAAGAATATAAATAGCAACTGAAATGATTGACATCCAAATAGGTAGCGCCTCACAGTTGCTTCAAAGTTATAAAGGTACTTTGAAAATTGTATTTGTTTTTGTTTCAACTGTCCCTTTGCAAGGTAGTTTGTTCTATCTCGCTAACTAACGTTTTCAATTTTGTCGTTTTTTTGTCGTTTTTTAAAATGTACATCGCCCTGTTATCCTGGCCAACTCAAAAAATTGATTGGTTTAAAAAATCAGCTTTTTTGGTCTTAAAATAATTTAGTGATTACTGCGAAAAAAAAACAACGGAAAACTCTGAATATCAATTTTATATTTAATAAATCTAGTTATCTTTCATTATTTTCAGCCAGGGAAGCACAATAAAATGTTTTGACAAGTTGTTTGATAGAAGGATTCATGGTCAGCGTACGCAAAGTTTCAATGGGTACACAAATTAATTTGTGGAGACAAACAGTAGTCTGACCAAAGAAATTTTTGTAATTGTTATTCGAATAAGCTTTCTATTCTTCTGCTGAAGAAATACCCAGGCTATTGATTTGATTTTATGGTCTGATTACTAAAACCAAAAATTAAAATTTCGCAGAACAACATTGTTAGTATTATACTACCCTGACTCATTTTTAGACTATCGCAAACATCTTTCAATAATTCATGAGGCTGTCTGTGACTATAAAACTTGCCCAGATTATGAATTTATGGTCGCGGAACTAACATCAGCGCGACTTTATAAGCCTAAGAATAAGTCGCCGACCTCGAGTCAGAATGTCGAGATGTGGATGTTGCTTACTTGACTTGAACTGTATGGAAGATTGGTCTGACTTGAACTGTGCGGAAGCAGATATTTTAAAATATCTGCCTGAATTACTCGGATTGAAGTGTTCAACTTAGGTTTGGACCAAATGTCCGTTTTTTGATCCGTATTTTAAAGCATTCAGCTGACCAGGTTTCATACGTGAATCAATCATCGTTGACAAGACCGATTTCCAAACATTTTCTGTGTTGGAACGAAAAACCGATTGCTATTCAAAAATTAGTGGCTTAAGCAAAATTTTATATGGCTTTAAAGCAATTTCAATTCGTAGAATAATTTGTGAACAATTTTGTCGAACAATTTTTTCATGACATGATATTTTTTGAGAAAACTGGATCAATGGGTAAAATGTTTGAATTTTTATTGCGCTGGGAAGTCCAAAAATTAGGTTTCAAATTCAAATCAATCACGTTTTTTGTTACAACTAGGAATCAATCACGTTTTTTTGTTATTTCTACAGTTTTGCTGTTCAATAGTGGAGTTTGCATTCCTTTTAACAAAAAAAAAAACGAATTTTGAAACAATTAAAAAATCAAACCGTGAAAGTTATGGGGATTTATGGATCGCCAGTTAGTCCAATGGGGGATAATTATCGCGCTTCTTTTTCAGATTGTTAACCCTTAATCGTCAATCCGTCTTAGAAATTGTTTCAAATTGATTTGAGGCATGCCATTTGATCTACTCAATACTTTGCTATATGCAAAGTATATCTCTGCATTTCACGTTGCGTCTGAATAAATCACTTTTGAAAGAAATATAATTTTACAAAATATAATACTTATTTTCCTCATTTTTTGAAAACTTCAGTTTTTCTCCACAGCGAACACTACTCAATAGAACTCAAAAGGCAATCGGAATCTTCAGCGCCTAGCCATAATAAGAGTTGTCCGGTTTTGTGTACTAAACACAACAATTCATCGTCTTTCATAACGCCAATATCCTTGTAAATCTTAAGTTTTCAATTCCAATTACTTACATTTTTAGACAAACTTGATTATTAATTTTATTGATTATTATTATTTTGACGTTTATTTTTGATCAAGAATAAAAATGTTTCAGCTTCAAACTGAACGGTTTGGACTTGTTTTTGTTCCGACTTTCGATACGAAAGTAACGGAATATTTGTGCTCGGGGTGGGTTTTTTTTTCATCAAGCAAATTTCGACTTTTTAACTAGCCATTTTTGACGGAATTTTTTTATATCATTCGAAAGCCATTGTTGTCCTGAGCTTAAATTTGAAAAGATATTTCACCTGTGATCATTTTGCGTAAAGTTATGAGGGTTTAAAGATTGCCATTTTGACCAATTTGGGACAATTAACGCGCGATATAATTCGCGCTATTAACGCGTAAGCGGAGATTTAATCCGTCTTATATATCGTTCCAAATTGGTTGAACGAAGCTTATTTGCCATAATTGATTTGCTACAAGGAACGAAATCTATCTTTTTGTACTTTATCTGGCGTGTGGGGGGGATGATTTTCAGAAAAAATTTCAAATTTAAAAAAAAAATTCATTTTTTTTGTCATTTAATTTTTTATGTTATTATTGCTGCTCCATAAACCTTAAAAGGCAGTCGGAACATTCAGGGCTTCGCCCTGTTACGAGCAGTCTTGTCTTATTTATTATTGAAATGGTAGAAAATTTAGTATGAAAAAATTCGACAAGGCACCGTGCCTTGTGGTACATCATGGGTGATGTAACTGAAAAGAATTCAAAGAGGAAAATTGAAATAAGTTTAATAAGTTGAAATAATTTGTCCGCACTGACAAAAATGGCTTCGAATCGATTTCAATTGATTTAAAATTGATTTTAAATCAATCCAAATTGATTAACAACGTTCGTTTTACGATCTTAAATGGGTTTTAAATCGGTTGAAATCAATCTTTTTTAAAAAAATTGGATGAAATTAAATGTAAGAAAAAAATGATTTAAATTGGTTAAATCCATCTCACTTAAATCCATTTTAAATCAGAATTTGAGCAAAAAACCTATGTAATTAATCAGGAAAAAGGTCGAAGTAAATCAAATTTTGAGCTCAAAAACATGCAATAAAATTATTTAAAAATAATCACTAGAAACAAGATAATAACAAATCAAGAAAATTATGAACATTAATCATATTTTGGGCTCGAAAATATGCAATGAAATCAAGGAAAAGCCATCATTATATATCAGGTTATGGGCAAAAACGTAGGTAACAAATCAAGAAGTTTATTTATTATGTTACCATACTTGATGTAAAACGAAAAAATGGGCAATTAAAAATTGCTACACAAACTAAAAACTGAAGAAATTCGAATGAAAAAAATTGATTTAAATCAATTGAAATCCGTTTTAATCCTTCCGATTGCCTAAAAATAAAAACAATTCAAGACTGAAAAAAAATCAAAAGTTAATTTTGAGCTGGGATTTAAGATCATTTTTAATCGAACTTAACTTTCAAACTTTAACAAATCAAACTTAACGTTTTCTATTAAATCTTCTTAGTTTTTTCGTACTAAAAACGATCTCAATTAAATCTGCATACTTTTTCATACTAAAATTAATCCTAATCCATTTTAGTCAGGGCTTGCCAAATGAAGTGAAATGTATTAGCGAGGTTAGCAATGAACTTTGTTCGACAACAATCGTCGAGAGAGGAGAACGGAGAATTATTTCTGTGAAAACTCAATCCATGTTTTTATGATTTCGACTACAGATACTTGTGAAATTGGTGTTTTTGTTTGAATACTGGTTTCGAGCACTTAATTGACGTTTTGCTTAATCGCTTACGTATAACTATAATAACAAGTAAAAGTCAACTTCTTTTTAATATTCGACTTATTTTTAATATTAAGATGCTTTTTATTATTCGCCTTTTCTAGATTTTTTCTCAAATTGCTTAAAACTGCAAATTAAAATTTAATTCAACTGTTGAATAAATTTGGGCCTTTCAAAAGACCTCAGGTGTATTTCTAATGTGATGGCTCATTCAACTTATAACTACAGTGATTTATACTTAATTTATGCTACTCCAGAATTAGTTTACTTGAGTTTTTTCTAAATATTTCATTTTCTCTCGGCTAAATGCTCCTTAGGCTATGTCGTACATTGGCATCGGGAAGTTAGCAGCAGCTGGGCTTGTATTAGCTTGTGTGTGTTGTTTTTGGAGGGAGTCGTTGTTCGCCCCCAGTTCGAAGTCTGACGTGGTGTTGGGCCCCGTGGATGTGATAGGGAAGTGATTGAGATTCGTAAGGAGAGGTTGGCAACTCACCTGTGATGCGAACTGTTGTTGTTGCAGAGATTGAGGCTGGTTTGAAATGTTTGCGTAATACATGACAGGAACTCGGCCGGAATCTGAAACGAAACAAAACACCATAAAAAGAATATTTTAAAACGTCCGAACATCCTGAAAAATTGAATAAAATGCGCACCTGTATAGATTCTCAAGTTTATTTGCGAAATCATCGAATCATCACTGAGAACATTCAAAATCTTGAGAGCTAATTCCTAGTTTCAACTAGAAGAAATCTGGTCGATTGCTTAATTCCAGTGGTACTGAGACCAGTTTATTTTGAAGGTGATGCCTCGTTATCTTTTTTGAAAATCATTTACTATTGGCATATGATTGCTTTGAGAATTGAAAAAAGCATGAAGAGAAATACTAACCAGAATTGTCGATTTCATGGCTCATGTCCTTTCCACTATGACCCCCTCCCCCTATCCCACCACACGCACTGCCCCCACTGGAGCTGCCGCGCCCGGAGGATGAGGGGTTGTTGCTGGACTTCAAGTAGGACCCATTAGTGGCCACTCCAATCACACTCCGGTGTTGCATAGGGTGCACGCGCGAAATCAACACGCCACCCGGTGCAACTCCACCACCACCCGCACAACTGACGTGACCTCCTCCGAGACCCATCATGGGAAATATTCCAGCGTTGGGGGGATACCTAGGGACTCTTGAACATGTGCAGGGAAGTTTATGGTTGTTGGAGGTTTGATCTTCTTCGGGCGAGCAGAATTGAGACTCCATGTTTTCGTTTGACCCCTTAAAAGACTGTTTCTTAGAGGTCAAGGGGTCACTGCACTGCGGACAAGGTGAAAATTGATCTGAAGCAGACATGAAGCTACTGTAGAAAGCTAGAGTAGCATTAAACTACGGTACAAAAAAAATTAACAAAAAATCCTTCCAAAGATTTTGGTAGATGAAATGCTTTTTTGAAATGCTCAACTTGGTATAAAAAACAGTCAAAAATTATAATAGCTCAATCACCGAAAATAGTCCAAAAACACGTCTCGGTACGGACGGGTTTTGAATCTTGGACGACCGCCCTTCCCTCAATTCTGGTTGAGACTTTTTCCCTTGGAACTATTTCACTATTTTACTCCAATTTTGATGGACTATGACCGATAAATTTTTCGGACAAGCCCCCCGCCCTCGAAATTTCCGCCAATCAGAACAGAGCATTTTAGACGCAGCTCTTAGCAAATTTAATTTAAATTGAACGCTGGGGTGGAGGATGTTAACTAGGTCTCATTAGCGTGCCGAGAGGGGGGTTTACAAAAAGGTATCCAACATTATTTAAAAAAATTCGAAAACCGCCCCCCTTAGAAAAATTTCTGCGCACGCCACTGCTTGGTCTGTTTGGGTAGAGGATGTTAATTTGATCCAGTTTTTCTAAAAGCGCAGAAACACGAAGGTTAAGGGGGAAGCGAGCACCAAAAATGCAATTTTTTGGTCAAAACCAATTTTGTCGAGCTAAAAATAACTACCGCCCGCTCTCGATAAATTCCTGTGCACGCCATTGCATGAAATGCACTTGGCTCTTCCTAGCCCTCCCCCCTTCCCCACCCAGCGGTTAAGTCAGTTTTTATAACGATCGGATAGTGCGAACAATAATTTGACTTGTAAAACTTCCCAGGTGGAGGGGGGAGGAAAAAGAGCCATGCACTTTTTGGCCTAAACAACTTTGCTTTCTCAGATAAACTAATTGACCCAATTGTCAAATTTGGTAAATATTGCGCAAGATATTGTGGTAATTATTGTAAAAAGTGTCACGATCAAAATTATTAACAATAAGTTTATTATAAACAATAAATTGAAAAAGTATACTTAAATTTCCGAAATGCATTAATATTAAATTGAAAAAGTATACTTAAATTTCCGAAATGCATAAATATTAAATTGAAAAAGTATAGTTAAATTTCCGAAATGTTAATTGTTAGTAAGAGTTTTAGTAGTGTTAAAAACGAAAAAAAAAAATATTTAAGAAAAGATTAGGCCCCGGGCGGATTTGAACCACCGATCTCTGGTTTACAAGACCAGCGCATTAACCACTATGCTACGAGGCCTTGAATAGAACGGACGCGCAGTATATTCAGACTAACTAACAGACTAATATAAAACAGAGCGAGCTTCAAATACCACAGTAAAACAAAATAACGCTTGCTGCTGAATTCAAATAACGGTGCATATTTATTTTCCGTCATTTCATGTTTAACACGTTCGGTTTTTGGCACATGGTTACGGGGGTCAAGTACAACAAGCCGACGGGACTTCAGGCCGAAATTTAAACTTTATCTGCCACATTTTCAAATAATTTTCAGAAAATATATTTAATTAAAATTTTGGCCCTTTTTCCTTTTCCCCCACCTGCAAATTTTTTTAAATTCAAATTACTGTTTACATTGTCCAATTGTCATGAAAATTGACATGCAGACTAATCAGTATCAGACCATGGCAAACATATTTGATCTTCATAATTAACCTTGTAAAACCACCGTTTAGACCATACCATTGATGCTTGTGTGAGGTGGGGGGGGGGGGGGGGGGTTTGGGAAGAAAAAGCCAAAATTTTTTATATAGGTGTTATATGAATAGTGATTAAATGCAAATACGAACGCGCGAAAATGAAAATCTAATTAATTTTTTTTGACATTTTTGAAATGCATATTTTATACAGAAATGACTGGTTGTCAAAAATAATACATGCATAGGGGATGGGGGGGGGGGGATAGGTAACAAGGTCCAAAAGGGGGGAAATAGTTAACAAGATCCCTTAGTTTTTACCAAGACCCCTCTATCACACTTGTACCAATTGCCAGTTGAAATGAAGTGAAATTAATTTACCTTGTGGCGTCGGCAAATATGCGTGATAGTCGGTCACTTCCGCGTAGAGAGACCCGGGTGCGGATGACCCGGTGGGCGATGTGTAGAGAGCCACGCCAGAGGGAGACATCTGGTGATGCAGAGATATCGCCAGTGGGTGACCAGCCGAAGCCCCCGAAGGGTATCTAGTGTTGCCAGGAGTGGCCGAAAAAGCGGCGGAGCTTCGCGGAGATGTAGCAGGTGAGGAAGATTGCATTTCGAGCGGCGAGTTTCGCTGGTGGGACGAAATGGTTGGGAAAATTGCGATGGTGCCCAATTTGTTCGAACCAATTTGATGCCCGAAGAAGTGGTTCGAATTTCGATTCAGAATCTGCGAACCTGCCAACAAAAAATCTAATGTGAACACTGCATCTTTTATGTTGTTTGTTTCACAGGAGCCCATTAATTTCATTTGAAGTAAATGAAATAGTTTAATTCAATTTAGTCGAGTCGAAATTAGAACAAGTATATCCGTTTGCTGTGCATGTAGCACAGAATATTCCGACCACTATGATTTAAAACCATTTTTTCTCGACCTGGAGACAATCTTTTTGAATTTTTTGGGAATCCAAATCAGGACTGAAAGGATGCGTTTTATGATGCTATACTTGATCGTTGACCCCCTAACTGCTTTCGTTGACTTGCTGAAAATAAGGACGGAGAAACAAACCCCTGTGTCACGTATTGTATACCTGTTGAATCGCCATGTCCGGGCATTGTGTTAGACATATTGGGTTGAAATATATTGGACCCCAGATGTGTATAATGGGTGGATGCACTCATCGAGTTTCGTTCACTCCTCGAGTAAATCTGGTCTCCAAGTGGGTGATGGTGCAGACTACCTGGTGCAGTGCCCCCTCCGTTACCTGTTTTGATCACGAGGGGGGCCATGTGGTGTTGTTGGTGACAGCTGATGGATGCCGGGTAGATGTCCTGGTCTAGTTGTTCGTTATTTGCAGAGCACTGAAGACAAATGATTAGTTAAGCAAATGAACGTCAGTATCGAAAAATTATCAGTTAATAATAACAGCTTCAGCCAAGGAAAAACGAAACCAGGTATTATAAAATCAACATTTAATTCAAACTTATAAAAAAACAGTAGAACTAGCCAAGAGGTGTTTTACCGTCACAGAATTAATGATTTGAGCAACTAGTTTATGATAACTGAGTTTTGAGCCATTGAAAATAAATAAAGAGGTGCTAAGGAAAGGAACCCACCACTTTAAGGCGTTGAAGTGAAAATTAGAACAGAGCTTTGCGAACCTTGGAGGAGGGGTGCATGGCATGTATGTAGTATGGCTGTATGCTATGAGTCAGTTTGTCCCGCCTGAACTTGAAGTAGAGCACCCCGAGTAGAAGGAGTAGTGAGATCCAGATGGACCCTCCCAGGGTGAGGATCATCCAATTTCTGTCCTCAAGGGGCACCAAGAAGCCACCCTTGTTCGACCTCGTGCTTCCGTCCGCTAAAAGTTAGGAAAAATGAGGATACGAGAAAAAAATCATCTTTCTTAAAAAGATGAGGGTTTTGGCAACCTTTACCGTCATTTGGTTGCCAACACCTAAAATCAATAGTTTGACAATTTGTTATACGTCAAGAAAAAAATTCTCATATTCGTGTACCAGCATGCAACAATTAAGTTTGCGGGAAAAATCCTTTTTAGAAATAAAACACGTTTTTTCCATTTTAGGGTAAAGTTTTAAGGGTCAAAATCAGAGTGCGTGCTTCTGCTTTGTTCATTATTTAACTATAAGCTATGATACTAATGCTTCACTTACACATGTCAACTATGATCGGCTGACTTCTCGGTCCCAGTCCGGCCGGCGACTGAGCCTGCACGTAGACTCCGATCTGCCTCCCACTTCCATACACATCCTCACTGGGATTCGAAGACGCAATCGACACTTCGTTGGTCGAATTGTCGAACGTGAGGGCTTTTATGATTGTGTTGCTGTCGGGGTCAAACAAGGTCACTCGGTATCCGGTGAGAGACCCAGAGGGTGTTCCAATAGGGGGGTCCCAAGTTATGGTCAACTGACCCAGACTAAAAAAAAAAGACTTCTGAAAAAAACAACAGGAAATTAACCTACGTCTTTTAATGGCCGTATTTGTGCTCTAAAATGGCATTGTACAAATTTCTGAATTAGCTAAATAGTCAGAGCTAAATCGAATCTAATCTGATGTTAGCCTAATGACTTTGATCTTCAATTTTTTTTGCGTGTTTAAGGCCATTTTCAATTTAATAGGCGACCATTTGTAAAATCTTTATATCTTAATTCAAGTAGAAAATTACACTTACGTTATATTTTTGACCACCTCAATGGAACTCGGCGGAGTAGAAGGCACTTCGTAATGAGTCATGGCAACTGTGTAATCTGCAATGGGTCCTAATAACCCTACCACGTGGGGCTGTAGAGTGATCTTGTACTTGAAAGAGGGTCTTAGTTGTCCGAAGATGTACGAGCGTCTGTTGGCTGACAAGGCTACGTCTTCTGTCATCGGGATCTCACTTGCACTTGTTTGTTGGCGGCTGCTGGCGTGGTACTCGAATATGCGCAACTGATACCCCGATGGAATATTTTCACCACCCGTAATCTAAAAATACAGTATAGCAAACATGCAATATAGTGAAATGGTAAAACACACCACACAAAAACAAGGTGAGCTTTATAATGGATACATGTTTTTATGTTTTTTTTTCAGTTTATTTTTTATATTTGAAGCAACTCAACTCAGATCAATCAATTGAAATAAAAGCCAAATATAATTTTTTCTCTGTTTTTGGGAAAAAAATTGAACTAATCACTTTTCAATTATCTGGAGACATTTCGGTCACATTGAAACTTCACTGTGTCAATTAAACTTACTGGAATGACAAAAATCTGTTTATAATTCCTTAAGCCATTGTATGAATTTTTGCTTACCTTCCACGATACCCATATGGCAGTGGTGTTGAATGGAGTGGAGGATAGCGTGGCAGATAGCTTCTGCTGCTTCATCAGTTTCACCCGCTGCTCCACATTCGAGTGGTACGATTCCCTCTTGTAATCTAAACACCGCACAACAGATTAGATATGATAATTCAACAGTCAAGCTGCAGTCAATTTTTTGGCCCCGACAAAGTGAGTAATTGACTCTGATTTTCACACTGAGAGAAATATTTAATTTTTTTAAGAATTTTTTAGGATTTTTAGAATTTTAATGGTAACATCTGAGTTACAACCAGAGACACGCGACCGTGTACCAAAAAAATGCTTCTGAAATATAACCGACTGTGGTGATCTTTACCGTAAGTCTTGAATCTCTGAGATATGGGACTGGCCCTTCCGGTGGCGCGTGGGGAAAGGGCCCCCCTGACCACAAACACGTACTCCACCCCCTCTGCCAGCTGACATACGGTGTGAATGGGCGAAGGGGCAAGAGTGCGCTCCACTTCCCAACTCCACATGTTGGAGCCAAACCTAAAAACATTCAATCTCATTTTTAAATCAGCTCATCGGAAAAATTTATGGCACCTCCTTGATTTCATTTATTTATGCAAAAACCAATATTTTTGTTTTGTTTTTAATGTCTTTGCTTTTCGCTAAATTAGTTAATGAGAAAATTGAAACTAATGCATGGTCATGTTTTTTAAAAAGCACCCAAATTTGAACCAAAGTTTGCTTTCAAAGAAAATTCTTTACCCATATTTTTCAATCTGGTAGTACAAATTCTGCACATCTGCTGTTTTTGGTGCGATCCAGGTCAAACGGAGACAGGAACTATTCACGACTTCCAACACCCAAGGAGCACTCGGAGGCTCACTTTCTAAGTAAAACTCATCGGGTCTATGATTTACATCATCATCATCATCATGGCTAGATATATCATCGGTTGTTGCGTAATTCTGAGCTGGGTTTTTTCCACTCTTGACTACTAAGTCTGCGGAAGCGATCGTTTCGCCACTGCCATTAGAAACGAGACACGTGTATTTTCCCTCGTGATCTTTGCTTACGTTGTTCACTCTTAGACTTCCGTCGCCCTGAAGAGCGATTCTAAACACAAAAGAAAAAGTGAAGATTTCTATCGTTTTTCAAGATTTCAATTAATATTTTCTTTTTTTTTGCTTTAGAAAAACTGTTGTCCAGTCAAAATGAATTTGCAACCGTTGTCATAATGGTCTGAAAAAAAAAACAGCGAAAAAGTCGGCACACCTTTATTTTTCTAATTTCTCAAAGGATTTGAAGGAACAAAAGAAAACTGATTGGAATTCAAACTGAAACGTTTAATCAATTCAAACAAAAACAGATTGACTGAAGTCTGAAAGGAAATGGGCCGCTAGCAAATTCTTCAAACACTGGGCAAAATTAAAACGGAGAATTAATTTGACAATCAAAAAAGAGGGAAGTGAACCGAACTAATTGCTTTTTTTTTATTAATCAGCGTAATTGTTTTGACCAGCTGCTTAAAGATCCCAATCCTCTAAATAAGTACCGAGTTTAGTTTTAAAGCGCTTTTAGCGGCTTTTTGAAAAGCTTCTAAGCGGCTTTTAGCAAAAAATGAGCGCAGAAACGGTCATCAGTGAATCAATGTACAGATTTTATCTGCAAAAAATCTGCAGAAAAAAAAAACCATGAGTAAATACTTTTTTCTTCAAAATGAATCTGTTTTAGCCGCAGACACAATACAAAATGAATCTGTTTTAGCCGCAGACACAATAGAAATTTCATCGAAGTTGCGGGATCTCATGAACCTAACAGAGCTGTACGTGTCTTTTTCTCATGAATTTTAGAACCGAGAACTGAAAGTGACAAACCCTTTCAAATCTGACGAGTACACCACTTTCAGGTCTTTCATCCACTTGATGGTCGGAGACGATTTACTCCGAGTACTTGTAGTCGCAAGTGCGAATCTGTTTGTGTTCCTGTACAGAGACGAGACAGAGGTCATGTCTATCTCACATGGAAGAGTCACATTATCCCCTTCGTAGGCTGTGGTGTCACGTGGTTTCAGTACGATCACAGGCAGGGGCTCACTATTGATCGCTGAAACAGAAACCATAGTATAAATTGGTTTTTAACTCAAACGCTTTTTTTAGATTTCATTTTTTATTTCGTTTCGCTCGTGAGCAACCGATGCTTCTATGTTTACTTTGATTGCTGTCGATATTTTTTAACTAGAAAACTTAATTACAAATGGTTTGAACCGAGTGAATTAAAAAGCTTCAATTTAACTTGAGAGGTCCATTTTTTACTGAATTTTATCGAATCATGACTCATTTCGAGATCTTACATGTATCATCCCTATTCTTTGATCTAAAGAAGCTCATTAATTTCCAGGGCTTTCTGCTCAAGTAATAATATTCAAAGGACCTTTAAATCATACGAGCGTTTAAATGGAGCTGTTTTTCATTCACAAAAATAGGCCTTAAAAAGTGAGTTTGGTATTTGTAAGGCATCAAACAGTTACAATCTTCCCTTGATATCTGTTTAATTAACAAAGTGCCTAGCTCAAAGAAACGAGCGACTGGCTTCCCATTGAGAACGAAAAAGTAAACTTTGTATCAAAAAACAACACTGACGATATTTTTTTCAGATTTTATCTTCATCAAGTATCTTTTTATAGAACGCTGAACTTTAAAAAAATGTTTTTAAGCAGATAACGGATAACGCGATAATTTTTAGCGAACCTCTAAGACCACAAATGTGAAAACTGAATCACTACCAATTAAGGGAAAACAACCAAGTTCGAATTTTAATAACTCCAATTTATCATTGGGAAAAATTAAATTTTATCAAATGAAATCTCATTGAAATCAAGGAAAAGAAATCAATCATTAACTGACGCTTCTTTAAAACCAAGTCCCGAAGCATAGGTGATGATCAGTGAACTGAATCTAAAAGAAGATTCCTGGTATTTTGACCAGGGTTTTTTGGAAATAAAATAAATTGTCTGTTTGCTTGAATTCATCAGTTCAATGGCCATAAATACACTGTTCGACAATACGGAATCGTACCATTTAAAAAACTTAGCTCAGAAAAATACCGACCTGGTGAAAGCGAACCGTTTGAAGAGCCATTTATTTCAATCAATTTGTTCTGGCAGTGACATTTGAACTAAATTATCACCAGAGAAATATCGATTTTCCATCAAACCAATTTACATCAAATCAATTCAAAAGACAAAATTAAACTTCCAGAACAATTCAAAAATATAACTCGTAAAACAGCAGGAAAAAAACACACTAATTAGCTATAAACTTCAGAGTTGCGGGCAAATTTTACTTTCAAAGACTGCCTTTTTTATTTAGAAAAATTTTACTACCAGTTATTATTTTTCTCTGCATTCGTATATCGACAATTCTGTGAAATGTCAATAAAAGTTTTGTAGCCAACGGAATTAGCAGCAGGGCATGACCTACAAGTCAGCAAAACATTTCTTATTAATCAAATATCTTATTACTGACCTTTCACAACCAGAGTGGCCGTTTTCTGTACGACCTCGCTCGATATCAACACAGAACATATAAAAGTGCCACTGTCTTCTAAAGTCACATTCTTCAACTTCAAAGTCCCGTTTGAAAACACGCGAAGTCTGTCGCTCAAGTTTTCATCCGGAAACACGTTGCCAAATTGAGGCGTGTCCCAGTAAGTGGTGGGGGTGGGGAAGTTGTTTTTGTTCTCTATTTTGCACTCGAATGTGACGTCAGTACCCACCGTGGCAACTATGTTCTCGGTACAGGATACTTGGATCGGATTGGCTAAAACACAAAAATTATTTCTTCTCTTATACCCTTTGGTGATTGAAGAGCTCTTGTCGCAAATCAAATTCAATTTTTTGAAATTTGTTATTTCTCAAAATCTTTTCAGTTTTTCCTTCTATTCTATTTTAGTTTGCCGATGAGTTTGGTTTTTATTCATCGAGTGATCAGCCTCCTGATTTTAAGCATTGAGTAGCTTTTTTGGTAATTTGTTTTAGCTTCAAGGACTACTTGATGGTATAGAAAATTCAATGTTAAGTGTCACCATTTAGAACCTGTTCCTCACTTTTCTTACCAATTATTTCCAATCGAGTGAGGGAGGTGATGTTATTGACAGCATTCAGTGCCTGGCACTTGTAAGGACCCTGATCGGAGGCGGCAGAAATGTTCGAAATCTGCAGAAATGCTTCTTTTAGCCGAAACTCCCTGTCTTTTGCCGTGTGGAACCGAAATGTCTCTGTGATTGTCACTCTTGACCTAAAACACATTCGGATACATGAGCGCTCCAAAAAATCATTTTAGAACTGATTCAACCTTTTGATTTTTCATTTAAAACATTTGAATGCAAGCTTTCTTCTTATCTTAAATTAATTTGCGTGAAAGGCCGCTTTTCAACTCGCGCCAATATTTGCTGTTTACAATAAAAACTCATAAAAAGTGTTTCGAAATGCTTTCCTGGGGAACAAAATCTCCCATAACCGATTTATAACAGGGAAAATTGACATAAACAACAAGGATTTAATCAAAAATGACAGTTGGCTTTTATTTACAAACACTGTTGCGATCATTCTTAGTCATAATTAACGCTCCTTCATGCTATATATGTCCTAAACAAAGAAATTAAGTTTGTCAATTGAAATATCATTGTACTTTGAGGTCACGATTTGAACAAGATTCAAATTAGGCGATTCAAGACTATCGCTGGTTCCAAGTTATAAAACTGCCACAAAACGCCGTCAATGAACTGATCGGCAGAATATATCCTTAAATTCTGAAGTGAATACTAGTAGCAAAATTAAAGGCACATCCCGGGTCGAGATCCCAGACTCATGTCCAGACTTTGAGGGTCGCGCCACATCCGGATTTAGACCCAAATTGCATAGTCACGCCGAGAGTTTGAGTCTGGAAAGTCTGGACATGAGTCGCGCCGTGGGCCGCAAAAGTCTGGACATAACAAATACGAGTCGCGATGTTTTGGTCGCGCCACCTCCGCTTCGGTCGCGAAAGTCGCGACATATCATCATGGTCGCGAAAGTCTGGAAATGCCAGGCTTTGGTCGCGAAAGTCTGGACATGCCTAATTTTGGTCCAGAAAGTCTGGACATGCCCAAATTTTGTCGTCAAAATCTGGACATGAGTCTGAGACCTCGACCGGAGATATGACGAAGGCCAACCAAAACGCTAAAAAGACCCTATGCTACATACTTCAGACGCACACTTCTTTCAAATTGAGGGACCATTGGCGCCAAAAGTGACGTAAGAAAAATTAGGGTCGGTCAACCAACAATGGTTACATGGGAGAAGCCGGCAAACATGGTTCAGACCAATATGGATTGCATTCAAATTGTACCGACTAATATTTCTATTCAAGTGTCACCGCAACTGATTGTTACGCTGAGCCGATTTGGAACGCTTTCATTTTTGTTGTTCCGACTTTCGTAAAAAAGTGGAATATTCACGGGTTGAAAAAAACTTCTTGTGATACAATTCCATATAAACCCATATGTATGGAAAAATTATATGCAATCTTTATGATAAACAATTTTTCATACATGAAAATTGTATCAGTAGCATTTTACCAAATATCAACAAGTATTATTTTTCGACTTTGGCTAAATATTTTAGTGTTTTGTCCAAAAAAAAACAATAACCAACAACTTTTTAACATAAGAAACACATTGGTTAAGGAGAAGAAAGCTCATAGATAATCGGCATGTGTAGACTTTTGTATGAGATTATGTGTCATAATTCACTCAAAGCTATGAACAAAACTATGAAAATTATGTATCTTGCAAGTTTAAAAAATTTATAAGTAAAAAATTGTGGCCCAATTTTTTTTGACAGCATAAGAAATCATAGTCAATTTTTCATTTGTATGAAAAAATCAAACTGGACTGCAATATGAACAAAAAACGTAAATTTTTACATGCAATATTGTTTTCAAAAAATATTCATTTGAGCAGAAAATTGATATTGAGACTAAAAACAGAAAAAAAATCCATGAAATTTTAAATTTACTTATTTAAAATTGCTTGATTGTCGTACAACATTCATAATTATTCAAATGTGAGTTTTTTTCCATACAATCTGTGTACAGAATTGCATGATTAGCTTTTTTATACGAAATTTTATGATTTTTTTGATAAATCTTTTATGCGTTACAAACGCGTTTCATTTTTTCAAATATTTCGTCAATTTTTAATCGAACCAATTTTAATTGGTCTTAAAGTGCAATCGGAACACTCCAGGCTTCGCCTTGATATTTTTCCGACGTTCGACGCTCGTGGTGGTTTTTTCTCCACGCCAATTTCGACTTTTCAACTAGCCAATTTTGAACGGAATGTTTTATATCATCTGACAAGCAGTACAATCTTGAGCTCAAATTTGAATAATATATTTTACCTTTAATCACTTTTGAAAATTTATGGGGGTTCGAAAGTTGTCAGTTTGGTTAATTTTGGGACAAACGCGCGAAATATCTCGTGTTATTGAAGCGTCAGTGGCTATTTAACCCGATCATAAATAGTTCTAAATTGATTTGAAGCATAATACTTGGTGTTATTGATACGCTATTGAGACTTAACGGAAGTTATCAAAAAAAAATTGGATGAAAAAACTCAAATCTTTTCTAATTGATGCTCTCAAAAACTGATTCAAAGACGTCGAACGGAAGTCGGAGCTCGCAGAGCTTTGACCTGATACGAGCAGTTTTCTTTAATTTTTTATTCGAATTTCGAAGCTCATGATAATTGTTCCGACTTTCGATACGAAAGTAACGGAATATTTGTGCTCGGGGTGGGTTTTTTTTTTCTTCAGACAAATTTCGACTTTTTAACTAGCCTTTTTTGACGGAATTTTTTTATATCACTCAAAAGGTATTGTTGTCCTGAGCTTAAATTTGAAAAGATATTTCACCTGTAATCATTTTTCGTAAAGTTATGAGGGTTTAAAGATTGACATTTTGACCAATTTGGGACAATTAACGCGCGATATAATTCGCGCTATAAACGCGTAAGCGGAGATTTAATCCGTCTTATAAATCGTTCCAAATTGGTTGAACGAAGCTTATTTGCCATAATTGATTTGTTACAGGGAACGAAATCTCTCTTTTTGTATTTTATATGGCGTGTGGGGGGATGATTTTAATAAAAAAATTCAAATTTTAGAAAAAAAATTTTCATTTTCTTTTATTTCATTGAATTTTTTAATGTTTTTACTGCTGCTCCATAAACCTTAAAAGGCAGTCGGAACATTCAGGGCTTCGCCCTGATACTAGCAGTCTTGTTGTATTTTTAAGACCAATTGACTTCTGGGCTGGGATTTTGTTCCAATCAAGCTGCACCAAATAAATGATAACAAATTGAACTTAGTCCAAAAAAATGAATCGGTTTTTCAGTTTCTTTACGGTATTTTCGCGCATTTAGGGTTAATTGGTTTAGAATGTTTAGGGTTAAAATATTAACTAACAAAGACCCAGTTTTGTCTCTCGCCATTTAGGCAATGTCAATGAAAACACAACAATTTATAGCTTATATTAGTTTTTTCAACGAGTTTGTTCAAACTTTTATCAACTGAGCCATGAAAAAATTTTTATGGTTTGTTTTCTTTTTATCCAATGAAAGTTAGATAAAATCTGGGTTAAATTAGCCGACCAGTTATATGTCTGCTTCGGGTTCTATCATGCCGGTTTTTTGGTCTGTCTTGCGGCGACGCTTTGAGAGGGTCGCCAAATGGCTCGTTTCCCAATATCGATTGGAATCACAAATAAATTGCCACTCAATTTCACACTTTCATTTCCACTGAAAACCCCGCGGGTTAATCCCGGGAATCAAACATTAAACAGCTGAACTTTTCTGTTTATGAACCATTTAAGCTTCAAAACCGCAAATACCAACACCTAAGTTGCTGAATTGTACACAAATTGTTTTGAAATAAGCAATGAAAATAAATGAACTTTTCGAAGATGAACGAGACTCACAGGGAAAACTGAATTAACAAAAGAACAACTTCAAGAATGTTGTTTTTGGAAAAATAAATCAACCAACTTTTTTAACATAAACTTATGATTTTTTGTTCCCAGAAAAGTCTCAATTAATGAGGTTAATAGCTGCATGGATTTCGGACTCATGATTTAGGGTCTTCTTTGAAACTACTAGCAATTAAGGTTTGTTTTGCTCCACTACTTGTTTGCCTGTGACTTGTTTTCTATTCCTTAAAACTGAAGTTCAGCATGTCATGGTATCTTGGCTGTTTTAGTGGCTTTATAAATGGCACTCAAATGATCATAAGCCATAATTGATAGTTGGTAGTCTGCGTTTTGACAAGCAGAGGCATCGGATCTTCAGCAGAAACGTGTTTCAGAAGACAGAAGCTGAAAACAAGAGAGACGAGTATAAAGTGCCGGCGGCACCCATAATCACTCGCTCACTTATTTTACACGGCGCTGCTTCAGTGGTAAACAGACTGTAAAATAAAACACACAGACAGTATTTGAAAGTAGATCTACACGTCTAAAATGTAGCCTGGTTCTGGACACTTTTATAAGTTTGGCTGGCGCGGCTCTGCTAAATATTATTGACGTGGTCGCCATTAGAAAACTTTCTCAAGTCAGAAGGGTGCCAGAGCTAAAAGAGCAATTACATACCAACTCGAATCAATTATAGCATTATATGCCATTAGATCAACCACACTTTAGAAAGAACAAAAACAAACAAATCAAAAATAACTACAAAAATAAAAGCACCAAACTACATGGCATGTTTTGTGAAGAAGTTTAAAACGTGTACTATTGGTACTCAGGTAAAACTTGAAAGCTTTAGACAGAAAGGCTTGAAAAGTATAAGATTATTATTTTAACAAGCTAAATGCATTGAAGCAAACTCACTCGAGCAATCATCGCTCTGAATTAGATAATCATCGTCTTAATCACTCACAGACTAATGAGATTTAAAAATTGGTCAACTGGCTCTGAAAAAAGCGAAAACATTGTTTTTGTAGCCTTGCTTAGACAAACAATTGTGAGCTGAAAAGAAGCAACAAAGCGTGATCAATTAAATCGCTATGTATTGAAAAAATTAAGAAAAAAAGTAACCAAAAGTTTATGCCCAGAAGTATTTTTGTAGCTCCAAAAACAACACTACAGGGGAGTAGCTTAAACCAAAACAACTAATCTTAATCCGATGTAATAAAAACGAAAATACCCAAAGGCAGTTGTTTTTATCACTAAGTGGTTCGTTATTTTCAGATTGTCGAGTAATACTAGTGTAGTTAGCTTGGGCTGTTTTTACTTTACTGACTATCAATAATCGATGGTAATGCGCCGCTAGCTTTTCAGATGCATGAAAGCGTAGCTGAATCGCATTACATACGGGTGTCCGGAACTAAACAGCCTTATCATCTTTCATCAATCACGCTTTTAAAAATATATAGTGAGTTTCCGTTTCCCGTAACTACTCATATAGGCATGATTATGATGAGAGCACCTTCTATCTGAAATATCTGTCGACATTTTGTTTCACCTTTAGAGTGGTTTACCGATAAATAACAAATCATATGTATAATATTTTGATGAATGGATGAAAAAGTGGGAGGCGGATCATAACAGCTTTGCTGGAATTGAATGAAGTGTAAAAAGGCGGTTCTACGAAGATGATAAGATTTGAAGTTTTTTAGATTCTCAGACGTGCTTCAAAGAATAGCTTTATAAATTTAACGTTATTTCTAAATTTCAACTATTTTTATCAGCTCTTCTAGACTTGCTAGTGAAACATAGGACATTGAAGGAGGGGCTGAACACAACAGCTACAGGATAAAGTGATCGATGAGAACCCTAACTTTCAGTTGACGCAGTGATGATTTTGAAAAAAAATCTTACTTAACAACAAACACTCCCACATCCACTTAGGGCTTATTGAACGATAGCGCTTTTAAAAAAGTAAAACAAGACTGCTCGTATCAGGGCGAAACCCTGAATGTTCCGACTGCCTATTAAGGTTTATGGAGCAGTAATAACATTAAAAAATTAAAAGTAATAAAACAAAATGAAATTTTTTTTTCTAAAATTTGAAAACTTTTATGAAAATCATCCCCCCTCACGCCATATAAAGTACAAAAGGATAGATTTCGCTACTTGTAACAAATCAATTATGGCAAATAAGCTTCGGTAAACCAATTTGGAACGATTTCTAAGACGGATTAACTCTCCGCTTACGCGTTAATAGCGCGAAATATATCGCGCGTTAATTGTCCCAAATTAGCCAAAATGGCAATCTTTAAACCCCCATAACTTTACGAAAAATGATCGGAGGTGAAATATCTTTTCAAATTTGAGCTCAGGACAACAATACTTTTTGAATGATATAAAAAATTTCCGTCAAAAATTGCTAGATAAAAATTCGAAATTTGTCTGAAGAAAAAAAAACCCACCCCGAGCACAAATATTCCGTTACTTTCGTATCGAAAGTCGGAACAATAATCATGTTGTGATTATATAAGATAGATCTCTGTTGAGACTTACGAGTTTTGCAGTCGTTCGCCCTTGAAGAAGAATCTGATCATGGGTGGGTCTGGACTGGCATAGGCACTGCACTTGATCACGAGGTTGGAGTTGCTGTGGTACTGGATCAGCTCACTCATCTGCTGTGCAAACCGAGGTCCAGCTGCAACAAAAAATATATAAGTCAAACCAGCAACAAAACAAAAGCGATTCCAAACCCCATCTCCGCTGTAATACTATTCCACTTTGGCGATCATTTCTGGCGGACCAACCCTAATTCTTTTTCAAAACGGCTGTTGATACCAAAAGACGCGCGCGCAAAAAAGAAACGTTTTTGGTAACAATATTCCAAAAAAGCCAAAAACGTCATTTCGAACGCTTTGATGATATTTTCAAAATTTCATCCCTACTTCCACCTTATTGTCTCCTTTTTCAAAAGTTAAACAAGAGGCAAATGTTGATAAATTAAACTGCCTCAACCTACTTCAGTGTTTTTTTTTAAATGTTAGATACGTTTTAGATAGATTTCCAACGATAACTTCCGACTTTAAAACTTTGCAAATGAGATACGAGAGTTTCCATTATCCAGTGTGATTTTGGACTGCAGTTCTAAGAAGTGATCGAACGTATGGCAAATTTTTGATGTGAATTTTTCCTTTCAAATTATTATTGATAAAAGCAAACATCTACCCTTGTTCTAAAGAAATCATTATCATTGCTTGACACTTTTTCAATTGAGGCTTTTTTCGCTTAGGGTGCTCAGTTTTAGTATGATATAACTATCTCCGATTTTTCAGCATTGTTTTTGTCCGATACTAAACAAAAATGAAGAAGCAATGAAAAGCTGCAAGGCATAATTAAAGAAACGTAAGATATCAATCAGCGATTCTATTGATTCCGCTTCACCCATGAAAAAATGTGCTTTTGTCATCCCCAGATCATTTGAACTTTGACCTCTGTTCACCCCGTGACATCATTAGGGCGGCCTTTGTTCCCTTTAAGGGGGGTTTGGATTGATTGTTGGATCATGGGAAAGGGAGAGAGCAGAGAGAGTCGAAATGGACTGGGGGTCTCTTGGAGAGAAAGGGAAATTAGCTTTGTTAATTGAATTTGCAAGGAGAGCCAAAGGGTAATACAGACGACAACGAAAAACGATAGACGGGGTAAGAATAGATGGAAAAGGAGAAAAGGGGAACTTTTGATTAGAAGTGGATTTAAACAGATTGATTTGAAGCCTCCGAAATTATGAAAAGGTGAACTTTTCAAAATGCCATTTATTTGCCATGCTAGATTCGTTAAGAGCTCAAAAAAGAAAACAGGATAATTAATAAAAACAGATTACCATTTCTCAAAATGGATATAAAAACTGTAGAAAAAACTCATATTTTCACCTAAAAGATGAACAGATTTTCACGAAGAGTAAATCACGCGTGAACAATAAAAATAAGCATTTATTTCGTCTGAATAAAAATCATTCGTGCATATCTTGCCAAATGAAGCAAAACTCCATTAGTATAAATTACACTTTCAACATTTTTGGGGAGAGTGAATTTGTGGACTGGATTGGCCTGGTATTATTCTAATCGCATTACATGACTCCCATTTCGCCAGGATGAAATGTTATTGCTGGGAGAATTATGGGCGAGGTGAGATGTAATTGAGTTACATTCCACCCCATGGAGTTAACTGATAGCATGTCAGGGGCTATTATGGATGATTGGGGTTATTTCATATTCAACGTTCATCTAATTTTTTTTAATCGTGGAAAAAATCTGGATGACACTTTTGAATGTATGCTTTAAAAATATGATCTGACATGTATATTTCCAATATGGCAGAAAATTTCAAATTTTACAACTTCAAATTCTCAGAAAAAACTTTTATGAGCTGAATCTTTGATCGTAAATTTGAGTGACAAATTTAGATCTAACAGACTTTTATATCCTTGCGTTCTTCTGTTAAGATTTGGCCCTGATCTTTCATTTAGATACCGTGAAACTAATATGCGCCTCTAATTCCAATGGTTTTATGAATCAACTTTCCAGTCCAGATCAAATCCGAGCGATTAAGTCCAGACAATCCGGGCGATTCCGAAGCGATTCCGAAGATCAGATAGCCCCACACTCGGGTATAGAAAAGTGGCAATATAATCCCCAACTTAGACTTTGTGGTGTAAGAGAAGCGAAAGAAAACTTCCAAGTTCAAAGAAATTGTTTATTTTTCCAATTTCGCTCAGTACAAATAATAACTTTAATCTGCGCGGGCTTTTAGAACCCATACAACTGTGTGTTCAGGCCTAATAAAACGATTTGTTCTCCCATAAATTGGATGAAAATGGGAGCTGTAATGCTTCTGAAGAAAAAATGACTTTTTGGTCACTTATGATGAGTAATAAAAACGGGATTACATATCTAAATCCAGGAACAAAATGAAGAAAAGTAATTTAGCGAGCAATCAAAATTGATTTTGCTAAGTGAAAAATCTCAATTTTCTAATTTCACGGAAGCCTTATATTACTCCACCTAATCGCTAATTTTCCAGATCAACATCTTTATTTTTTCAATCTAATAAAATTAACACTGTTCGGTAATATGTATTTTTTATTGCAGCAAACACTCTTAAATCAGTAACAGTTTTATCAGCCTGGTCATAATGCGCTTTAAATTACAATTGTTTAATGCATTTATACTTTGAAAAATGATAATTCATGAGATGAGCCCTCGGGTCACTGAACTTAATTATTCCTAAGAGATGTAATCAAATGTTTAAATATGGGAAAATTATCACAAAACATCATTTCACAACTTTTTATGATGTATGTAGTCTTCAAAAGCGTGAAAATGATTCTTTTGGAGTGATGCTTATCTTCACAGAAACTGTTCAACATCATTTTTTTGATATTTTTGATCAATTATGGGTTCATCGGCAGGAGACAATAACGGGAAATGCTAAATCTAGGGCGCTTTAATTTAGTATTATATATGCAAATTTTAAACAATCATCTTCAGGTGTTAAGATAAAAATTAAATGAAGCTTATTATTGCTCTCATTATTCAAAGATCAAAACAAAAAACATTCAAAAAGGCGTGAAACAGTTTTTGTCATGTTTGACTTGACTTTGACCTGAAAACAAGTCTAGTGTTTCAGAATATCTAGGTTTCTAGAATTATTACAAGACTCGTCAGCTTTTGGATCAAGCCAAAGAACTAAAAATATTTTTACGTAAAAAGTTGCCGCAGTTATTTTTTTTAAGATATGTTCGATAACAAAAAAAAAAACGGTTTATCTGCGATTTCCGAAAACTCAATTTCGATTTGACTTTTTGAACTACTCACTTTTGATCTGCAGCCAAGAAGGAGCACTGGTCACATTGATATTCCTGTTCAGAGGGTTCGAAGCCAGACACGAGTACTGACCTTCGTCCTCAATCCTCAAATTCGTCAAATTTAGTTCATGTCGCACTACCCCGTCCCACGTGACATGGGAACTAGAGACTGCATTAGGCCGAGAAGTGAAGTCGATGGGTTTTTGTTCGAAGAGCCACGACACTTTTGGTTCGGGCACGCCCACTGGCGCTATGCACGAGAGTGACACCATTTTACCCTCGACGCCCTCAATTAGAGGAGAGGGAACTGCCCGAAACTTTTCGCCCAAGCCTGAAATCAAAAAAAAAGTTATTGATTCAGTTGTCTCAAAAATTCGAAAAGAAATTTATTTTAAAAAACTAGGATGCAATTACTCTTTTTGAATTTAGATTTTAGAAAACGTAAGACTTCATGAGAGTTGCTGTTCTTGAAAAGAAAATGGATGAGTGGAAAAATAATCAAGTAAGAATTCACATCCTCATCAGTCTTTGATCCAGGTACAAAAAAGTCTCGAAAAAATGTTGCAGTGGAGTTTCAGTTGTTTAAGTTCATTAGGTTTTGAAACAACCTGAGTGTCCAACTCGAAAAAATCTAATTCACATCAAGTTTTGTGACGAAAACTCACTTGAGATGGAGAGAGAGGCGACTTGACTGGCCACTGAGAAATTCAGATGAGAGTCAGAATAATGAGAGGACAAAGATGAAGATGATGAGAAAAAAGACGAAGACACGACACAATAGTAGTGTGCCACACTTGTTCCGTCCACGTAGAACAACATGAGGTCACTGCCCAGAATTGCATGGGGCTTAGAAGGCACTGCAACTCCTGAAGATCCACCACCACTACCACTACCTCTAGAGGAGTCAACTGAAACAACAATTGTTATATCTAGAAGGATATTCTATGCTATTTATCACTAATTTTTGGCTAATTTTTGCCTTCCCGAATACTTGGTACTGAATACTTAACAATCCAGATTCCCGAACCCCGATCCCCTTTCTTTTCAATGGTCAACCGTACACAAATGGGGAACCTTTATACTGATCCTGCTTGAAGTGCACTATCTAGTACTCAAGCAGATCTGATGATTTAGTAGCACTCAAAACAGATTTGGCAGAAACAGTGAGTTTTGAATGACATCTGTTCTGAGAAACTTCAGAAAATTAATGGTACTTTTACGCTAGTAAAACAAACAGCTCATTGTCATGGGTCATTTACTAAACGAGTTGTTTGATGATAAATTACAGTGTCTAGAATTTTCAGCATACTGCTCAATCATTAATTGCTTAGTTCTGAGTTTTAATGGCGCAGAAAATACAAAATTGATTGATGTTTCACAATGTCTGGCACTGACAGCTTCGTCTTCATGTAAATCCACATTTCTCTATCCAGCCTTAGCATAAACTGTTTGTTTCTTCTTTAAGGTCAAAGGCGGCTTCAACTCTAGACTTGAAAGCGATTAGATAGACAACCGATTATGTAATCACTCTCCAGTAGTAAATCAGTCACATAGATGTTTGTTTAGCGCAGAGAAGGAGCAACCATTCATCATTTTAACCGGCGACCAGCTTAGAACAGTTAATTGACAATAGTGTTGATTTAACCCCGTTTTGGCGAAATATATTATAGGGGGTTTCAAACAATAGGTAAAACATCAAAGTAACTTAAGTAAAAACTGCCGGCATTTTGCAGACGTAGACCTGAGAAAAACAATGCTAATCAATCTGTCTATTTGAAGTTAGAACCGCAGCAACTGCAATATGAGTGAATGCATGTAGGCAGGGGTGGATCTAGGATTTTTTCAAAAAAATTTCGGAAATTTTATCGACCTATTTTTTTATCGACCTAATCCCTGCGGGCCCCTGCATGTAGGTAAGATCAAGGTGATTTTGCTATCAAACTTTTGACCATTGACCATTCATGCTCTTACAAAGGATGAATTCCTTATTGCAAATAATTTTAAGTCTATTGGTAAAGCGATATATGTATTATGTGCCTGAAATTCTGTTACCGCAGCTGTTTTTACCTCCCGTGTATTTACCATATTGATAGTTCATCTTTTAATCCAAAAAGTCAGAATTTTGTTTTGTAACAAAACACCTCAAAAACTGAGCATTGGTTTATGTTAGCTCAAAAACTCATCAAGCTAAATAGCAAAAGACTTTGAAGAGCGGACGAATATTCGGAGTCATCAAGTTGTTTTTGTCGAAATCCAAACGTCCTTTACATCGAACAAACACCAGTTAACAGAACTTTTGATAACTTGATCAACAGAAGATCGTCTTAAGACATCTTCAAGATTTTTGTTGTCTGTTGTTCTGTCTAGGAAAGGAAATTTTGGGTAACTTCCCAAATGGTATAATTCCCAAATGGCATAAAAATGGAAACTTTTCCCAAATGGCATAAATTTCAAGTTTTCATTGTTATTTAAACGTTTTATATCAATTTCTATTTCTATCATTTTGTCAGGAACGAAAGCATGTGAACAGGATTTGGAATTAATTGCTTCCAAACAAATTTAAGCAACAGATTTGTCGAAAAAAAATGACCACAAGAAGCTTATTAATAATCGCAAGCTTATGCTTCTTGCTTTTGATAAAAAGTTCTACAAGTTTTTCACGATAAAATGTCAATCAACAATTGAATTGACAATTTGACTAATTTTCTCACATTGTTCAAGAAAAAACTGTTCTCGATTTTTCCAAAGCAACTGTTGCATGAAATTTATGCCATTTGGGAAATTTTTCATTTTTATGCCATTTGGGAATTATGCCATTTGAGACGTAATCATTTGCATGTACGAAACCTCACTCCATTTAAGTAAAATTACTTAAAATCTCTCATCAGCATAACAAAACGTTTGATCATGTCTACGATGTGAAAAGATTAAGGTTTCACAGCAGCTGAAAAACCAAAGCATTGGTCTAATTATAAACATTTCATTGATTTTTCGTCATGATAAGTCTTTGTCAGTCAATTTCCATTCCACTCATAGATCGAAAACATCCCTTGTGGTTTCGATTGTCACCCTTTGAAACCACTGCTACCAACTGTGAGATCTAGAATAATAAGTATACAAACATGACAACTTGCATGCAAATGAAAAGATCAATCAAGCTGACACGTTCTTGGTATCAAAAATCTGCGATCTATCATATTGTGAACTAACAAAGTCTATTTTCGAACATACGTGGTACATAAACATTTCATATTTGCTGTGTAATGTGTAATCTGGAGTCGACATAATTCCGCTAGTTTTCTCCCCAAATTAACTGTTTACAAAACCTCCAACCTCCTAGCCTATACATGTAAGCGCAATGGCAATAATTGGCAATAACTCAGCTGGGGTTAAGTTTTATGATAAACTTCAGGTCAATAATGTTTATGCTAAGACAATTAATTAAGAGCTAAGTCGAGTTTGTCCTGAAGCGAAGAAAATACTTACTAGGCAACCCATCTCTGTACCAAGTCACTTTAGGAGGTGTTTGCACGGAGTCAGAATTTTTTTCGGAGTCCAGGTTTGGTGTTCTATGCTGGGCAACATCACATGAAAATCGAACTGTATCCCCCGCCAGAGCTATTTTGTCCCTTGGCCCGTGTTCAATCACAGGAAGATAAGGCAAATCTGCAAAAAATATATGAAAACAATCGTTTCATCGAACCTATTCGATTAATGTTGCCATCTAGATCTAATTAATGGTTTTTTAAAGCCTTTTTGTTCAGCACAAAAAATAAATGTTCGAACGACTTGAAGCCATTCGATCTGATATGATTTTATCTGATAATAATTTCATTCAAGTTAAAATTCCTATCTCTTTCATCAGTAATCACACCGCCGAACAAAGGTAGCGTTTTCTGAAGGTATTGTCATAGTCAATTTTTTGCTTGATGTCTTTCTATCTTGCTCACAACTCACATTTTCGTGTTGTCAGAACCAAACTTTTCCCGAATCTCATTAATTGACTATTTTTATCCTTTTGCACTGAGCAGTAATAAGTGCCCGTATCCGTTAGTCCATTGAAACTTGAAATGATCAGTGATCCATTTGCACTCAGACGTCGGTTGAAAGACTTCAAGGCTGAAACAACAGAAACTTTTAAATTAACAGACTGACTCAGAGATACTTAAAATTTTGTTACAACCTGGATTGCGAAAAAATTAAGATCTGTGCAAAATTTTTAATGCCTGAATGAATAAGTCTTTTAAAGCGGTTACTGCTTTCAAAGCACATTACCGAAACGACCCTGGGTTATAAAGTTCTATTTTACAAAGAAATTTTTCGCATATACCTGGAGGTTTTTTCAAATTGATTAATGAATGAACAATTAATCCCACCATGCAAACATGAATAAATTGCAACCGGTGCCACAGGGGCTGAAATATAATTTTGTTTACGTCATAATCATTGAAAGTTAGACGATTAATCGAGTTTTTTTCCATTAGGCGTAAAAGCACATCAATAATATGAACCCCGTGACGCGAGTTCAGATTAAGAAAGTAATGAAAGCAAAGTGCATCTTCACTTCTAAATGCAATAATACTTCCCGCTTGTGATTCCGGGCAAAAATCGATACCCGAGCAAACAAAAGCGAACCTCTCCCCATGTTTGCCCAGATAACAAAGATGAGACAAAATCAAAGCCCCATCAACCTCCAACCCCTCCCCACCCGCGGCTAAATTAAGGATAACCCCTCGCTTTTCAATCTTCAGGGTTCGCGAATTCGGTACGGAATAGTGGGAGTAATCGCAGGATCAAAGCCTGCTTAATGAGTCAACTTCATTTCCATCCAACTTTGTCAGCATAAAATATCACACCGCTAAGCGCCATTTATTAGCAGGCCTGTTTTTACGCTCCATATTTACTACTCTTGTTTATTAACTGTTTTCATCCCATTTTTATGATTCACTCTGGGCCGGAAAAAATTAAAATTCAATGGCAACGTCAATAAAAATCTTCCCGCCGTTTTGTTTTCAAAGTTTATTGCTATTTTCTTTTTGAATGTAAGGTCGCCTTTCGGGAAATTGTCATCATAAGAACAAAGGTCTGCTTATTTTAGCCTTTCCGTTGCCTCAATCACATTCACCTTTTTCACCTTAAATATGCAATCATTAAAACAACTTCTTTCTTTAAATGACATCAACAGAAGAGTTTTTTAGGGTAATAATAATGATCGTAGCTCGAATCACTTAGCAATTTCTCAACCCTTTATGATTCTAATGAAGGATAAATATGATACAAGTTTTAATCAAAGGCAGTTGGAGCACCTTTTTACATCAAAACTGTTCTTTTCCATATGTTTTGTTGGAACAAATTAGACAAAAAAATGGATTAAAATCTTAATTGCACAATTCAACATCCACTCTTAAAATAAGACTACAAGTTTTGTACAGTCTTTGTTGGGTTGAAATTCGTTAAAAGATTAGCCGCATTTGACGCAAAAAGGAGAAACAAAGCTAATCCATCGCCTTTTTTGACTGATTGTTTCCAATCAAGATTCAATTCTGCATGCCAGGAAAAAGAACAACAAAGATTCCCAGAGATTACATGCCAGCACTAGAATTTTGAGCGGGAAGATAAGCTGGAAAAATGCAGATACATGAGGCAACTCTAATCCACATTTACATATATCCTCACTCCTTTCATGTCTACTACCTGCTCTGGCTAAATTGCCCATTTTTCCAGACATGAAACTGCATAACGCAACACTAATACCCACTTAAGGAGAAAAATTCAAAACATAACTGGGCGCCCTTGCAGCACCCAACAATGTGACAATATTTTTGCGCAAGATACATGTAACGGCTCAAAAAGGAGTCCGCTTGTATGAATGAATTGCGCCTCACAGAGCGTGTATGGAAAATACTGCCGATGCGTTTTCCAGCAAGAGGCATTTAATTACGTCGCAACAATAACAATGAAGTGACCCAATTAAGGCACAGGAAAATAGGGTCTTAAATGAGGGAGATGTGAACAATAGGGTCAGGAAATAGCCTGAGGGGGCGGGCAATTGAGGAGTGAAAAAAAGGAAAAAAAAACTTATAAAGCTAAAATATCTAAAAAATACACAAATTGTTAGGAAACTTGAGTTTTGAAATTGAACTGTTTTAAGCATGATTGATTTGACCTCTTTCAGGATGTACGAATATTTTTTATGAACTTTTCAAAGGGATCCTAAGAAAAGGTGAAAAAATTCGGTCCCCAATTTTCATCATTTTTTGTAAAATACAATTGCTCTTTTTGTTTCAAGTCATCAATTAGACCATAAATTTGTACTGTAACTTGCGACTGCTTTCGCGTCCCATTAACAAAATGCATGAATAACTTATGGCCTATTAGTACGAAAAATGAAACAATCAGCTTAGCTACTGTCATAAAAACATGTTTATTGAGCAATTCAGGCAGTAAAATGCAATTGTACATCCAAATTGCCATTAAAATCATGGTTAAATCGATAGGAACGCCCTCCAAATTTCTCTTCCTTTTCAGTCACCTGTCAGTTTTATTAATTTATATAAAGCCCAATTGCAATCCAATATTTCAGTCTGATGCAATCATGCCGCTGTATTTAGCTTTGGGTTAAATGTTTGACTCACTCGACCTGGCGGGACACCCTACAGCATCCCAGAACCAAAAGGACGATAAACTTGATCACGCTGCGATTATGATAAGATGACTAAGGTTGATAAAAAAGCTATTCAATTTTACTTAAGTAAGTCCTGATTTTATCAAAGGGTGGCTCTGTTTTTCTGCACCTGGAGAATTCCGGTATCTTTGCGGGGTACTTTGGAGTCCTCGGGTGTTTTCCACTGATAGATTATTGTCGATAAATGGAGGGTGAGGATGACGCAAATAATATAAGCTTGTGATTGTTAGAAAGATGATGATTTTTAATGATGAATTTTGATAATGCATTTCGAATAGGCTATTCAAAAAGTTTTTGCAGGTATGAAGCTTAAGTTAAGTCATTATCAGGTTCGGCAAGCAAAAACAATCTTTGTCAACAAAGCAATGTCAATGTTTCAAACCATAGTTTTATTTCAACTTTCTTTCATCAATTTTATTCAAATAAATTTCACAACAAAATCCTTGATTTATTAATGTTTTAGCGTTGAAAATTAAGTTTATCTCGATTTTCAATAAAATTCTTCTTGTAATAGGTGTTAATAAAAGCGAACTGTAAAAGAAAGATAGCCGGCTGCTGTGCAAAAGGCACAAAATGTACCGATTACCAACCCTCCAAATATCTATAGCAGTATATTAAACAAGACTGCTCAAATCAGGGCGAAATAATCGTTCCATCGTTCCAAAATAATCGTTCCATCAATGCCAATGTGGTGCATTATACCTTCTCACAAATGAATCTATGTTGAAATGAGGCAAACTTTAATCGTATTGGTATGATGCAAAACTTGTCACTTTACATTTGAACTATTTTGCATGTAGCGAGGAGATTTTTAAACTTTAAACTGATAATTTTTTTTGAATATCAATTGGAACATTCGCCCTGATACCTGCGGTCTGACTTCGAACTGAACTCAAAACATCGAAATCAACTGAATAATCTAAAAATTTTGTCAAAATTGCCTATTTAAACGATCAGAAATGGTATATGAAAGTATAATTTGGACAGCAACACTTCTTGTACTACATAGAAAACCGTCCATCAGCGTTTTGAGATTTCAAGACAATAATTTAGTGCACACTTTTCAATTTGGCAAGCACTTTTGTAAAAAAAAAAATAGCCGATGGTTTCAGATGCGCTAAATTCTTGAAACTTATTTGATGATTTGACTAGCTTGCTATTCGAACCAAATTTCTCAGACAGAGAAAAGTAGAGTTTGTTGCTGAGCCAGAAGGGCGGAATTTATGTTTTTTTTTCAAATTGTTGAAAAACTAATATTGAGTTGTCAATGATGATTTCATGTTTAGCAATCAAAAAGCGGCAAATTGCAGTCCTTTGGTCCTTTGTCAATTCTATTTAGGTCTTCGAGATTTGTCTTATAAAACATGTCCTAACACTTAGCTCTGGAAAAATATTTAGCACGCATTAACATTTGCTACCTGCTCGCACATTACTACGCTTTGCTATTTCGTGCATCTTAGAATTGAATAATGTTCATGTAGATGTAAAAAAAATGACTAAAATTTGTCTGCAGAACTCTCAATTTCAGTAAAGTCAGCTAAGATGGTTTAAAGAGTAAGAAAAACTTCTATCGAAAAACCCTTACCTCTGAACTATGATACAAATTTTTTGTAAAAAGGCAATTTCCTGATTGTTATCATCTCAATTTTTTTTTCTCTGGGTAAGTTTTAGTTTATTTGTGCCAACTAGTTCAACCACTGAAAGTGGCGTGGAATCTTGCCTCTGTGTGAGTTTTGTTTAATTTATTTTCTGTTTTTTTTTTAATAAATTTATTTTTCATGCAAAACCAAAGAGTGGATTGAGCGATATAGCTTGTTGAACTGTTGAAGCCGTTCCAGTCATGGTTCAAACCAGATAAAAAAGTCTGATTTTTTTTTCAAATTGACACAAACTGGTTTTACGTTTTTGCTTTAAGTCTAATTTTGAGACAGTAAAACGAGCGAGGGAGAGTTTTAAAAGGACAAATAGCTTATAAATCAGCAGTGAAAAACCACTCCCTGAAAACTAGTTGCAAAGCTTCATTTAACCATAACTTCAATTAGCTTTAAGCTCTCAAACCTTTTTGAAAATTTAGAGTTTTTGAATTTCATTGTTATTCATTTTTGGACATTTTTTTCTTCAATTATGCCTATTTTAATAGCATTCTAATTTTTGTGGAGTTCCTACTATCACACCACATAATCAAGACTGACAAAAATTATTTTTCTTTTGGTAAAAAAGTTTGCTGATAGGCCACCGGCTATCCTTGTTGTTCAGTCCATTTGAAAAATGGTGAGGTACTTTCTATTCGGGTGTAGTGTAGTTTTCTGTTATGTTTTCTACGCAAAATCAGGTACTACAAATAATCATTGTTATGAGTCGAGTGATATATCATATTGAAGCCCTTTCAGACGTCATTCAAACGTCATTTTCAGTCGTGATTCGAACGGAAGTTCGTTTTTCAACCAAGAGAAATTACCTCAAATAATCATCAGAATCGTAAGAGTGATATATCATACAAAAACCTTCAACTCTAAATCGAACGTCGAGAAAAAGTCGAGAAAAACTGGTTCAAAATTTTTTAGTTTTAGTTCAATTTTGAGCGAGCAAAGCACGCAAGTAGAAATTGTAGAAAAAATACCATGAAGTTTTAGTTTTATTCTAGTTGAAATAATTTTAACAAACTTTTCTTGCGTTCTGGTGAATAAAAATTCAGCAATTAAGATTTTGAATTAGCAATTCAAAAAAATATTTGCAAAAAAATTGAAGAAAAAAACGCTTTGGAATTTTTCTCGAGTTTTATTGATATATTGTTTTGGTTTTTCTTGTCCTTTTTTGAAAAAATAGTAGTCAATTCGCCCGTTTTACTGTGATTGTCGAATATGCTTAAATTTTAGGTTTTCGACAGATCTTTTAATCACGCTACGCACAAAAAAACGACACTAGTTCGAATAAAAAACTTATGTTTTCATAATATGGCGAAACATTCTGTGCTACTTGCACAGCAACCGGCTATCCTTGTTTTAAATAACTTTTAGCTTTCTTAGGCTAACTTAGGCTAGCGTAGAATGTGACAGCCCCGACATAAGAAAAATGGTCGAGTTTGAATTATTTGGGTTAAGTTCGGATGGGGTACGTCTTGTTCCACATTAAAACACGACCAGGAAGGAATTTTAATTGGGCCAGGAATTCAGCCGTCTCAAATAAGAAAAATTTTTATCAAAAAATTATGGCAGTAATAGAGCCAATGTTTGGTGAGGATTGAAAATGACATCGACCTATATACCTAAAATAGTTTTTTTTATTTTTATGGAAAAAGTTTTTTTTATTTTTATGGAAAAAGTTTTTTTTCTATCTAATTTCTGTCAATAGTGACGTAAGAATATATCAAATCGAAAGCATCAAATACCGTGTTCAAAGATTACGTCAGAACATTACCACCAAATTGGCATGTGAAAATTAGCATCCTGCATGAGAAGACAGTGGTCATGTCTTGTTTTTAATCCATCCGATTAGAAATTGGCACCAACAAACCAACCCCCTAGTGATTTAATAATCTGCTTATTTCCCGAAATAATTTTCACTCGCTTACGCTAAAAAAGGCGCTTCAGAAAACGAGTGAGTATTTTATAGGGTTCAAATGCAGGAACAAGAGATGGTAGTTTTCGGACAATTTCTTATTTACGTTTTAGCTTTATTATTATAGTAAAAGATGACATGTGGTGATCTGTTTGTTTGAATAACAAATATTTGCTGCCTACTGTTCTTTAAACATCTCAAATCAGAACTTACCATTGTTGGACAAGGTATTGTAGTGCCACTGAACAGGCGCTAAATTGTTTTTAGCTCCATTTGGTGACGCCGAACCGCCAATAGCCGACGACGATGAATAAGAGATGTGACCCCCAGACTCCTCGGATCCAAAGACATCACATGCTAAGGCCACCTCTTGACCGTCGCTCACTAGAAGCAGACCCATTCCGTCTGGTTTGGGCAGAGAACCCGCCTTGGTCTTGATGACGTCAGAGGTAATGAGGAGGGGATAAAAGAAGGCAAGGATGATGGTAGTCATAACAAAGGTAAACCACGTCATAACGAATCAATAAGAAGGCAAGAAAACTAAATAGTTTAAGCTACTTATTTACCAAATATTGTTGCTTTTATGCTTGTATAATTTGTATTTGCTTCTTTTTTAGACGAAAACAGGAGAAAAATTGTAATATGATGAAGTTTGATTAGAGTTTACCTAAAGCTATGAGGTGTCTCTTGAACGTTATTTTTCTGGTTAACTTTGGAATTTGAGACTATCGATAGCTTTTAAAAGGAGAGGAAAGTTTTAATTTACTTAATGGAATACAAGTAAAATAAATGTTGCGTCTGAATGCGATTAGGGCGATTATGGACCGATGAAAAGCGATGATCATCTGATGACTTAGAAAAACGAGGAGAGGGAGGGTAAATAATTCAATAAAGCCCACCCGGCAGAAGGAAGTCTATTTGGGACCAGAATGGACTAAGGAGAGCTATCCGGAGTAAGGCGGAATTTACAGGCGGTTTAAATCTTTTTGTCACCCAGCCCCGAGGGTACGTGCGTGCACTGAAATTCTCTTCTCTCGATTTAGGCTCAAAATGAAAGACTTCTGAGCGCAATTTAATTTCAGCCCCGGGTTCGAATTAGAGCGGATTTGGAAGGAAGTTAAAAACAATATTTGCTTTATTTCAGATTAACTGGGAATCTCTCTTTTTACAAAGGCATTTGTTCTTTTTAAATCCAGTTGAAAAGATGCTCGATGTTTTTCCAGATAAAAACTCAATAAACAAACCAGGTAACGAAGTGATTGGGTTAGTTTTCAAGTACTAACTAAACGGAACCAGCCAAGGAAGCATCGTGAACGAATTATCCGGAGAAACTTGTAATTTGAAATGTCTTTTTGAAGGGAACAAATATCTCGTCAGAAGGCAAAGTCCAAAAATGTAAAATAAAAGAAGTATTTATGTTTAAAGTAAATGTATTCATAAATATATGAAGTATAAATTAAGCATTCAATCTCCACTCCGTCCAATCGGAATTGAGAATAAAAAATATTCAAAAATGCTTAAATTGCACACCTTGTTTTTGGTTTGCAAAAATAAATACTTAAATGCAGTCTTAATCACAATCAAATCAATCACAATAAGAGAATTAAGCAAGGCAGACAGAAGCAAGACACAGAGAGTAAAAGTTATTATTGAAATGTCTGACCAATCACAAAACAAATTGATTCTTTGTTTTTCCGCTGTCACTAACAACCAACCAGACCAGGAGAAACTTTACAATTCTTGAATCAAACAACTTTTTTATATTTCAATTTCAGTGATATCAAAAAATAGATTACAATTTAAAATATGGATCAAAATCAACAAATGAACATGGGTTCGCAAAAGCCTGAAATTTGCATTTCTACTAATAGTAGTTCCATGAAATACCCTGTATTTGTTTTTTATTCAGAAAAATACGCAAACAACAACTGTTTAAATTTGTTAACAGCATCCGTAATGAAGTAATGTTTCTTTCAGAATTTCTTAGGAATATTAGACCGACGTTTGACAGTTGAAAGATTTTGGATTAAAGAAGGTATCGCGCTCTGATTCAAACGTTTGTTTTAATTCATCAGGCAAAGTTTTAGTATCAAAGACTAATATCTAGCCCTATATTCTGTTCGACTGCTTGTTCAGGACGTGCTACAGATTTTTGAACTAATTCGATACAAAAGATTCAGAAAAAAATCACAAAATATAGCTACCCAGATTGAAAGAAAACTTGCTAATTTCGTACTTTTAACAGGTTTAGGGCAGAAGCAGGCTTAGGGCTTTCATTTGGCTAGGGTCAGATTTCAAAAGTTTTTGATAGCATTGTCACTCTTTTTGGTTTGAGCACGTTCAATTTCCATTTTCCCTCGAAACAGTAAAATGAAGGCATTTTGCTGAGTATTTCGATGCAAACATATGTTGCCACACCGATTAAATAAAGTATAAAGTATTCCAGCATACAAATTCACTGAGATTTACAGATATTGACTTTAATAATCAGAAAATGTTGGCGCCTAGGACCAACGTTAGGCACAAGGCCTTGAAAATGTATGTCCTAAATATTGGAACTTTTCAGACGTGGTCCATAGTGCAGTGAAACGTTTTGATAACGGTAACAAGGATAGTCCGTTACTGTGGAACTAGCACAGAAATTTCCGACTATAGTCTTGAAAAGTACAAAAACGGTTCTTTTTTTTCTCGAGAAGTTAGGCATATTCGAGTCACAATAAAAAAAAGGAAACTACGCAAGAGTTTTAAAGAAAAAAACACAAAAAAGGTTTCAAAATGTTTGATTCCCAAATTGGCGCAAACAAACTCCAAAAACACTTGAGAGTGTTCTTAATGAAATTTATTTGTGTTCTTCAAATGACTGATTGCTTACTGGTTGCATCACAAAGTTTCAGTTGGCTATCCGCATATTTGATGTTTAGATTGCTGAACAAAGCATGTACGTCGGGCTTTTCTCTTATATACAAAGCTATATTGTCTATCATCTCTACTCTACAGATGTTTGGCATGTGATACTTTTGTTAAAAAACTTTTGTTAAAGAACTTATCTGAAGAAAAATTTCATTAATTTGTTTTTCTTTTTCGTGATCACTAAAGAGCAAATGAAGTAGGCGCTTTAATTCATCTTCCTTTTTTGTGATCACCAAAGGGCAAATAAAGTAGTCTTCATCGCAAATTCTTAAAAAATTTTCAAAACATGTCGGCCATTGCCACTTTTAAAAATTTTAAAGAAATTTCCTTGGGTCTCCATTTTCTTCATTTTGATATTCACCACTGTTATTAGATGAAGAGGAAATCTTCTACTTTTAACTTGGACCTGTGTAAAAGGTGTATGTAAAAGAGTAATCTTACAATCGTTGGGATTTTCACCAATTCTATTGAATAAGTCTTTTGATTTGTTAAATAAAAGACTCGTAAAAAAATAATATGTCAGAATTATTGCCGTCTGGTGGTTGGCTGAAAAAACATGTCGGCCTTGAGCATTTTTTCTGTTTGCCCCAACTTTATCCCCAATTTTCGAAAGTTGTCATTTTTCAATGTTTCTCTCATATCATCATGTGATAAAAAAAACAGCCGTCTCTTCACAAACCCACTCTTTGGACTGCGTTCTGACCAAATCTTTTTCCCAAAATGTTAACCAAAATGTCTGTGAAACCGCAGTACAGGTCCTTTATCCGTTTTTCTGACGGGAAATTTTTATGTCAGGGTATCTTATTTTTAAAACTTGGAGAACGTTTTGTGTGACAAAACGGACCGGGCTTGTCGAATCCTTTGGTATGTTCATGTTTACAACCATCTTTCAAACCCAATCCTATATTTTCAGTTTTTTTGTCTCTATACCCTTTTGAACCTACTTTGTTCTTACACTGAGTACTGAGCAGTCGCCATCGGTGCTCTGACCATTCTCATTCCGCATAAAAATTGATCTGCGTTGCATTGGAGGACGTTGTGGGGGACGCACGCAAAACTCTAATTGTAGACAGTGTCATCAACAATGTTTACGGAAGGGCTTTTGTTTTACGATTTACATAGTTTGGCATAATGTCCATTATAATAGGATAGTTTTTTTTTGCTGAACAGACGCTCTAGTGACCCTTTAAGAACGCGTTCCCACACCTGTAAGAAATGCTCATTGAGGTTCGGTTCTTTCCTAACATGGCTAAGTGCAATAAAAGATTGAAGACTGAGAGCACTGGTCGTTGCATTTTGTCAGTATCTGATGGTGAAATTAGAGTTTCTCATCTATAGTAGCCTGGCGTAGAGCTTGCGATGGGCTGATAGTAGATGATAAAAATTTGCGTTGTTAGAAAAGCTCTCTCTCTCTCTTTTTCTGTTTAAGAGTTTGTATCTTTCAAACGTTGTTCTTATCTCTCAAACGCCTTAAAAACAACTAGAAATGAGTGAAAATAAAATGTCTAATCTAGACTTTCTCGAACAGCAATTGATCAACCGTTGATCGTTGAATGTTATAAAATTAGAGATATCTAAATCAACATCGATGGTCATAAGAACAAAGTATCAAAACAAATCACAACAGGGAGTTTTGAATATGTTTTTTTTTCTGTTTTGAAATCAGTATCACATCTGCAATTTTCTCATCGCGAGCTAAAAATTTACAACAAAAAACTCTAAGAAACAAAAATAACTCAAAGAAATTATTTTTTTGAACAATTTTTAAGTAGCTCTTATAACTTAAATGTATCAGCGTGATAGAAACTTTTCTTGCTCAGCAACTTTTCATCCAGCTCTTTTTAGGTTTTCGGATTTTGCTTGAATACTAGAAAAAACTCAGAAATACGAAATACGAAACATGTTTCTTCGATTTTAGGTTTGGAATCTTGACATTGGAACTTTGTTTGAATTGCCTGATATCATTTCCCATTTGTTCCATTCTCCCTTTATATCATCATTAATGATCTCATATAGAAAAACGCTATGTAACAGGTTCCTTTTCAATTGCATCGGTTAGGAGCAAAACAGGCCCACCTACTGCTCGTAGATTCTACACAAATCTTGCGAAGAAAGAAAAAAATATTTTCAATCTTGAGAAGGAAGAAGGAAATAATTCCAATGTTATTCACAAACAATGCAAAATCCTGCAAAAATCTTTCACGAATCCTCCAGGATGTTAATTAATTGATAATTATCTGGAAGTTGAAAATATTTATCGCAACATTCCAAAGAAGGATTTAATGAGGACATCTACGAATCTATACGTTTAGTTTTCGAAGATAATCATTTGTTGAATTTGGCAAAAAAATTTCTCTTTAGCAAGTTTTTATAATATTCAGGGTTTTCGGGAAGCAAAAGATTTATTTAATAGAAGCTCCAAACGTGCAATATAAAAATAAACCTGCCCAATTTTGGTGTTTTGCCGGCTACTGAAGCGTTTATAATCAGCTTTACTCATTTTTCAGTACAGTTTTTCAAAAAAGTTGTGAAAATGAGTCCAATATTTCTATTATATAATTCAACATAAAAACTTGCCTATCAGAAAAACTTTAGATTGATTAGAATAACGTCTATTTGAAAGCAAGACTTTTGATCACAAATTTATCTTAACACTGTGGATCTATAGGTTGTTTTCTTCAATTATATATAAGTAGTATATATAATTGACCCTCTCAAATGCTGGAGTATACAATTTTTCTACAAACAAGTGATAACTTGTTTCTTAATGCTTTATCATTTTTATAGTCAACGCTACTTTTGATTACTTATTTTAAACCTTCTTTTTTAAAACAGAATATGTTTTGAATATATATATTTTTTCTGTTTGGAAATCAAAATCACATCCGCAATTTTCTCATTGCGAGCTAAAAATTTACAACAAAAAACTCTAAGATACAAAAATAACTAAAAAAAATAGATTTTTTAACAATTTTTAAGTAGCTCTTATAACTTAAATGTATCAGCGTGATAGAAACTTTTCTTGCTCAGCAACTTTTCATCCAGCTCTTTTTAGGTTTTCGGATTTTGCTTGAATACTAAAAAAAACTCAGAAATACGAAATATGAAACATGTTTCTTCGATTTTAGGTTTGGAATCTTGACATTGGAATTATGTTTGAATTGCCTGATATCATTTCCCATTTGTTCCTTTCTCCCTTTATATCATCATTAATGATCTAATATAGAAAAACGCTACGTAACAGGTTCCTTTTCAATTGCATCGGTTAGGTCCACAACAGGCCCACCTACTGCTCGTAGATTCTACACAAATCTTGCGAAGAAAGAAGAAAATATTTTCAATCTTGCGAAGGAAGAAGGAAATAATTCCAATGTTATTCACAAACAATGCAAAATCCTGCAAACATTTTTCACGAATCCTCCAAGATGTTATTTAATTGATAATTATCTGGAAGTTGAAAATATTTATCGCAACACTCCAAAGAAGGATTTAATGAGGACATCTACGAATCTATACGTTTAGTTTTCGAAGATAATCTTTGGTTGAATTTTGCAAAAAATTTCTCTTTAGCAAGTTTTTATAATATTCAGGGTTTTCGGGAAGCAAAAGATTTATTTAATAGAAGCTCAAAAAACGTGCAATATAAAATACACCTGCCCAATTTTGGTGTTTTGCCGGCTACTGAAGCGTTTATAATCAGCTTTACTCATTTTTCAGTACAGTTTTTCAAAAAAGTTGTGAA